CACTCAGTTCCGTAGGAGAAGCAGAATCCGGCCTGCTCTTTTGTCAGCTCGTATGCCTTCTCCTTGACTGTCTGAGATTCTGTGCAGTACTACTAATTTGGGGCTACTCTGGCACTATGAGTAGAATAATAGAAATAATCGAATTATGCAAGCCCCCCCCCCCCCCCACGACCCCACCGAGAATCCAAAGGTCGCTTACTGCAGATAGGCGCAGAGCTAGTCAGAATGGGGTTGCGGGGTACAACATGCTATCGGTTCATTCCGTTAGGCAACATACGGGGATAGTATTGCCAACAAATTAAGCTACTTCTACCCTACTTCTTCTTTGTGGAAGAGACTGTGTCACTTGACTGCGTGGGAATTTAATTCAGGGTTTAAGGTTTATATAGGGCTTTAGGGGTTCAGGGTTTTAGGGGTCTAGGATTGGGGCTTTTCAGGATTAGGGTTTTAGGTTTAGGGTTAAGGGTTTAGAATAGTCTTGCGAAAGCCAATCCACAAACCACAGCCGCTGCTAGAAATTTCCCCTATCCACTACGGCCATCTGTTAAAACAGTATCCACGCTGAGCCCCAAGACCTAAACCCTAAAACCATTCACACCCAAAACCTTAATCCATAAAAAGAACTAAAACCTAAAACCCTCGCCCTAAAACCGTATACCCTGGACCCCTCCCTAAAATACAAATCCAGGTGTCAATCTGTCCCAGGAAGGTGGTGTCCGAGCTGTCAGAGAAGGCCTTTTCGATTTGAGCTGGGCTTGGAGTTCGGGCGTTCAGAGCATAGGGTTGATTGTTTAGGTCTCAGGTTGGAAAGACTGATGTCTCAGGGCTTACAGCTTAGAAATTGAAACGGGGGCGCAGGGGGCAATGATGCAACGTTGAAGACCCGCTCAGAGCCATGCATTCCAGAATCTGAGTCAGGTTTCCGATGTTGGGGCTTCTGCTCCAAGGAGCCCAAAACTTAAACCAACATCAAAAGCCTGACAAACTGGGATCCTGAATGTAGGCAAGCCCGGCCACCCTAAACCCTAAACCCCAAACCCCAAAGCCCTAAACCCTATAAACCCTGAAAGACAGCTCTAACTCGGCTCACGCGCTCTTTCGAGTACCCGCCGACGCATGCTTCGCATTGTGGATTGCTTATAAGGGATGAGAATTTCAGCCTTTTGGGGGGTTCACCCAGAGAGCCCAATGCCCCTTAATTAAGGAATATACCTTAAATTATAGGGGCCTTAATATTATGGTTTAAAGTATATTCCTTAATTAAGGGGTTTTGGGCTCTCTGGGCAGGGGTTTGGGCTATGGGGTGTAGGTAGGATACCTGATGCCGAATGTTTCGTCGGCCCGGCCTCGCCGACAAAGCTTGATAGGCTCTTGTCATCTTTATGGATTTCCTTCACCTGGGAGTGTGAAGAGAAACACAGGAGACCCTAGCAAAGAACTCCAAATCACAGGACACTTGATATTAATCCACCTTGACCCTGAATCCCAAAAACCCCAAACCCTAAACCCTACAACCCCAAACCCTCCGCCTTGTCAAAGAAGATGGCGGGGGTGGGCAACATTTTAATGATGGGGTCGAAGAGCTTCTTAATCGGGGCGGCCACTGCATCCACGATCGGCCGGAAGGGACTTAAGACAAAGTTGAAAATCTTCTCCAGAAATCCAGTAAGAGCTGCCAGGAGGTCCCGCAATGAGAACTCGAAGCACTTGAAGATAATACCTTGCTTGTCCAGTTTCCCAGGGGAACTACAGTTGAACTTTGGTGATTTTTTTGGGAGTATAGTAGCCCAAAACGTTAACAGCTACATACTCAGGCACATACTTTGTGTTTGTCAAAGAGGGCAACCTTGAAGCCCCTCGTCGGTGTCATAATGACATCGAAGAAATTGTTCACTTGCGCCATCTTTGTGATCACAGATTCCGGGACTAGGCCTTCGACCCAATTTATGACGTCCCTGACGAAGTCCGTGGCTATGCCTGCCATTTGATCGGCGGCGACCAACCCCTTCATGGCATTGTTGGCGATGGTTGTCAAATCCGGCAGCCACACACATACACCCATTGCTAGACCAACCAGTTCAGCAGCCTTGTTCGCCTTGGTTGTCTGAGCCTTAAACCCCAAACCCTAAACCCTAAACCCCAGACCCTAAACCCTAAACCCCCAACCCTAAACCCCAAACCCTAAACCTTAAAGCCCAAATCCTAAACCCCAAACCCTAAACCCTAAAGCCCTAAATCCTAAACTCGAAGAAATCTGAAGTGTGCAACTTCGGCTAGGCGGCAGGGTATGCCTGCATCTTTAGGACCGGTATAGCTTCGATAGCATAGCGGACGTACCTCGCCACCTTCGCGTTGAAGAAGAAGGCGTTCTTGAAGACGTCGGTCCATTTGTCTTTAAGTTTGTCTCGGATCCCTAGAAGCTTCGTCTTGATAAACTTCTCAAGGATCTTCACTGGCTCTACTAATATCCTTACTTCTCCAATAAGCCAGGGAAGTAGAAGGTTAAACTTTCAGAATATTGCTAAATTATAAGAACCCAAAAAAGTTTAAAGGTTGCGTATTGGAGAACTAAGCATCTTTGCAACCCATCCGACGATAGGGAGGTTGGAGATTAGCGACAGAAGGTGCTTGAAGAACCATGCGGTGTCGTACAGATTGGTGATGAACTGATGTGTCTCCTCTGATTTCTAAATCTAGTTCGCTCACGGACAAGCTGCTAGCAGCCTCAAGACAACAGAAAGCCGACGTCCATTCCAACCCAGGCTGAATTCATGGCATTCAGGCCACTGACCGAAAAACCTCAAAGCCCAGACGCTAGGAGTCATGAAAGTGCCCCTAAACCGTGAACCCTATACCCTAAACCCCTCAACCCCCAAAAGGCTACCCAGCTTCCTTGCTGCCACGGAAAAGCTTGCCGAACAGCTTGCCCGCATCAAGGAAAGTGCCAAAAAGATTTCCATCTCGTAGAGTCGTGGCCTGTTCCAGGGAGCTGCAGTTTAGGGTTTGGGGTTTAGGGTGGGGTTTAGGGTACGGTATAGGGTTTGGGTTTAGAAATTATGGGATAAGAGTTTAAGGCTTAGGGCCTAAGTAGCCTTAGATTTTGTCGTAGGTGGGGTCTAGGGTTCGCGTATTATAAGGGCCTTAATAATTACCTATACCATTCTTTGGGGTTCCTTGTTTTGATTATAGTATAGTTTTTCCCAAATCCCTATTCTAATTTTCACTACTTTGGGGGGCTCCTTTATTTTTCGTATTATATACCCCCAAACCCTATTCTAATTGTAAAAGCCCCTACATTATGGTCTAGGAGGGTTCTGTGAGGTGCTCACAAGGGGGTTCGTACGGGTTTGGGGCTCTATTCAGCTCTGCTTACAGTATACCATAAGACTGTCGTCATGCTCTAATCATACTTCACTTCTACCATGTAGTTATAGCTACACTATACTAGGATGTTTATAATAACGGCAAATACGTCTGAGGAGCTTCGCGAATGTTTCCGGCCTGTTCATAGGCAAGATCCAAGTCACTCGCCAACGTTTTTGCGGCTGGGCACAAAGGATTACCCAAAGTTCCATCTCCTTGGTTTAACAACGCCTAAGCTCCGGTGTCGTTGAAGTTTAGGAGCCTGTCTTAAGCAAGCCCGATGGACATCAAGTGAAACTTAAACCGTTAACTAAACCCGAAACTAGGGAGGGTTCCTTGGCTAAGTCTACTGAGCTTGGGAGTCTCTGGGCAATTGAACAATGAAGGCCCACACACACATACACATATATATATATAATGCGTGTATATATATATATACATATATATATATATGTGTATACTTGTATACATACACTCCTATTATGGAATTAGGTCCACAAAACCTTGAGAAGGACTGTCTTTGGGGGTATAATTCCATAAAGGTAGCATATGTGGAGCCAAACCCTGCACCCAGATCCATGCCTGAACACTGAAGATGCTATGAAGACATGAGAAGCTATCCTACTTTAAGGGTTTAGGGTTTCCGTCTAAGCATTAGGGTTTATTAAGGTTTAGGATTTACATATTGCTTCTACGTCCTACAACTCGAAGCTATCCCGAAACCTTAAATCTAGTTGCCGAGCTGCGTGATCAACGAGGTTAAGCGTATATTGTACAATTACAGGGGCGATTATTCTATGAGCCGGAACTTTTAAAGGTGACCTCACTTGCCATTCGAATGCCCAGCCCTAAACCCTATCAAACCCTAGACCCAGCGTCCATACAGCATCGCAATGGCTTGGTTCGCTGCATTCTCCTGCGCTCGGATCATGGCCATGTCCAGGAAGACCTGAACTTAGGGTTTCGGGTCTAACCTGATTCCGGCTACATGTATGTGCTTTTGCACGATGTTTTATGCTTAGCCTTTGTTCGCGCGTGCGCACGCGCGCGTGTGTCTGTTCAAAACAGGCTTCTAGCAGTTGTAATGGTTTCCTGGGATTCTGCAGGCTTCAGGGTTTTAGGGCTACCGTTTCAGGATGTAAGGCGTAAGGGCTCAAGGCATCTATCAGACAGCGAAAGTGATTTGCTAGGGCGGAAGGCGGAAGCCTAACTGATCACCTGATTCGAAGATCAATGTCGGACAAGGGTTTAGGGGTTTGGGGTTTTGGGGTTTAGGGGTTTAGTGGTTTACGATTTAGGGGTGTAGGGTTTAGGGAAGAGGTTTTTAGGAGTTTTAAGGTTTAAAGGACTCGGGTTGAGAGTTGAGGGTTTGCACACATACATTCATGTTCCCAAAGGGTCCATGTATCCAAATAGTATCTACTTTGGCCTTAATGTAGTCCCTATACAGGTACTTTAGGGCCAATGTGTATGCTATTTGGGTACATGGACCCTTTGGGGTTTATTGCAGAAGAGCAGCCCTGTCCTCGCCGTGTCGGTTTTTGTAGAAGCTGCTGTCAGTCATCATCTTCGTGGGACCCTTCCAGCCGTTTCCTGGGTTCTTGTTAAGGGATTTAAATTAAATTACCATAATAAGGAAACCATATTATTTACTATAGATCCCTATTATGGTAACTTGAATTAAATCCTTTAACAAGAACCCAGTTTCTCAAGAAGTCAGCGCTGAAGAGTTGAAGCTCCGCGAATCCTCGATCCTGGGTTGCGCGTGGACCCCCTTTTTAAAACAATCCTCTAAATCTCGTAGACGGTAATGAAGCAGACATGTTAAGTTATATGTGGAAAGTGCAAAATGCATATTTTTGGTGTATGTGTGTGTATATATATATATAGAGAGGTGTCTATTTACATATTTTCTCGATTATACGCCATCTATCTTATACCGTACGTTTAAAGAAAAAGCTCCACGAGCCATAGCCTGGGATCTAGCATGGCCTCAGTCTCCGCAAGGTCCAGGCCGGTACCACTTCGTTTGACCTCGTCCCCCTCCTCGAGGAGAATGATGCCGTCGGGGTACCTTACTTCAGACTTCCCCAAGAAGCCAGGGAAATAAAAAAGGTTCAACTTTCAGATTAATACGAAATGACTACTGTAAATAGTAAGATCCCCAAAAGCTTTCAGGTCGGGTATTGGAGAACCAAGGTACGACCCCGACCCACTGCCCTGTGGGATTTCCGTGCCGTCAGGCCCCGACGTCGGGTAGAATGCCCGCAGGAGCATGTTGTTCAGGTCCTGGGCATCTTCGGACACCTTCTCGGCCAGCTTGATGCTTGCTTCGTGGAAGAGGCGTCTCACCGCCCCACGGTAGAGGATGCTTGCGCGATTCTTTGAAGAGATGCCGTCGTCGGAAGCCTGGGTACGGTTTAGGGTTCGGGGTTTAGGCGTTAGGGTTTAGGGTGCAGCCTTCGAGATGGAGATTACTTGAGCATGTTCATCTTTTCAAAACTTCATAAAGACAGCGGCGAAGCCAAGCCAGCAGCGGACGGAAGTAGCAGTCGTACTCGACACAGCAGTGGTAGCAGTGGCAGTAGCAGTAGCGGAAGTAGGCCAGGAGCAGGAGCGGTTGCAGCAGAAGTACCAGCGGTGGCAGCGGTAGTAGTAGCAGCAGCAACAGCAACAG